CCCACCAGGAGACTGGCAAACCCTAACATGTAGAAATAGCAAGCACCTTCCATATAAGCAAAGCTTGCAATCCATGCTGGGCGAGGACAAAACTGCCTTGCATACTGCGAGGAACCGACCAAGAGAACCCAAGTTTGGAGCCACCACCGTAAGGTCCAAAGTGGAGGTGAGGTTGCACGGATGAACCCTTAGTTGTCGCCGTCCCAACTGGAAGACCCGCTTCTCTCTCCTCGGGGCCAGCTGGGACCCCTGCGACTTCTAGCAACACAACTCAGGCACAAGCAGGGGTCATTTCCTGCAGGAGCGCACAGGAGCGGAGCTCCGGCAGTAAAGAGCCCAGGGGGTGGGCACATGCAACAAGCCCCACCCCCTGCTCCCAGCAGCCCTCAGTCAGAGAAAGAAGCAGCCAGGTAAGTTGCAGAGCTCCCCCCGGTCCCCCGGTCCAAAACAGTCCAGTGGCACCTTTAAGACCAGGTTTTATTCAGGCACAAGCTCTCCCTCCTCTGTGAGGGCAGATCTACACGTTCTCTCCCCCCCCCCTCCAATAGCTAGCAATCCAAAACAGTCCAGTGGAGCCTGAGCGGTGGGTGTTGCCTTCTGACACACTTCCGGTGATGTCAGGGGGTGTGGCATATGCAAATAGGTTATGCTAATGAGTTATGCTAATGAGCTCCTGCACCTCTTTTTCTGCGAAATTACCCCTGGGCGCGAGGGACTGGTCAGTGGGGTGCCAGGTGCCGGAAATATGTGAGGTGCAAGGTCTAGATTTCAATCGTTATAGGGTTAATCTGGTGTTTACCTTCTGTGCTATTGTTGTGACCTGGGAGGAAAGTTGGCACAGAGCCAATGCAAGCAAAGCCCGAAAACTGAGGTCTGTTTTCTAACACCAATTGGTTAATGTAATCAGGTGACTTCCTTCTAGGGGTCAGGAAGAAGGAGGAAACTCCCATTCTTGTGTGACCATGTGTTTGTAGCTGTAGGATGTAAAGATGTAGCTCCAGATATCTCTTTTGTTTCGTAGCTTTCCATGTGAACCCTTCCCTTAGAAATAAAGCTTGTTGCAGAGAAAGAAATGTCTCCTCTCCAGTGAAGCAAAGATCCATTGCAAAATCTATTTAAGTATTTTTGCCTATTTTCCCAACACCAGGCTCCTCTTCCTCACCTCCTGCTGTTGATGTGAAACCCGTGGTTGTTGCTCCTTGCCGTCACCGACATCACCACGCTGCCGTTCATGATCGGCATGGGCGTGTACCAGCACATCGAGCAGAGCTCCTCGCTGTCGCAGTTTTCTGAGGGGGCGAATGGGGAGAGCAGGAAGTCAGTGTACGTACGGATTCGTGCCCCGGGCCGGAGGCTCTACATAACTGGGAATGGCACGGAGGAAAGACTGAACGGCTCCAAGCTGGATCGGTCCTCGTTCTTCCAGGCAGCAGAGAAGAGAGCCGAGAGCAGGGAGACTGCTGGCAGATTCTATCTAGTGTGGAATTCTGGAGGGTCTTTAGGACTCTCTCCAGGTTAAAACCCACCACAGATTTGAAAGCGAGCGCTGCGAACGTCGGGGTCTGCGCGGTGTAGGCCCTGTCCACCGTTCTTGGGGCACAGGGTGCCAGGAAAGATCACGCCTGTGCCCCTAGCCCCCGCTGATCTCTTCAAAGGTGCGTTAGAAGCCAAGCTGTTGCCTCGTGGTGCAGAATGCTACATCAGCACACAGGCTGTCTAAATAGGCCCATATACAGAGGCCCAATGGGAAGGCCTTTCCCAGAAGCTAGGCTGACAGTTTTTCCAGCTTTCCTGTTCTTTTAGACCCTTGCCACTCTCTGGCACAATGTTTGAATCACCAAGAGAAGCCCGCCCAGGCCCGTAGCTACAGTGGGACTTTGGGGACCCCCGCCCCCTTTCTTAAATGCACAAGCCCACAAGGATTTCTCCTGTAAATCCTTTTTTCAATCATTTTTAAAACATTTTTTTAAAAGGCGTGCGTTCCTTTAAGCAGAGTGGGGTGCTGTAGTCGACTAATTCCCACACTGAGCCAAGAGGGTTGGAGTAGGTGACCTCTAGGATCCCTTCTAACTCTGTGTCAAGAAACTGGTCTCCTTTCAGAGAGTTTTTCTGCCTAAGTGCTAGCGTTCTTGACTATAGACGTCCTCACCCCCCACCTGCCGGCTTGTTCTCAGAACTGTTGCTTAGCCTGGCAGAAGTGATTCACTCGCAGCAGTTGCGGACTGTCATCTAAAGTGGTCGACAGCTTGCAATTTAGAGATCTCTCCGGCTAACAGCTTTCTATTGGCTAAATGGCTTTTCCTTCTGCACTGAGAACTTCAGCCCCACTAGCAAAAAAAAATGCCCCACAAGCCACAAAATCCTGGTTATCAGCCGGAGCCCATCCATCCCTACCAGCCCCCACTCCCTCTGTCTCGCTACAGCCAAACTTTCACGCCTACACCTGTTTCATTCTTCTCTGCCTCCCGCACACACCTCCGACACTTAGCCAGGCTCAGCCCGACCCGTTGTTGCCCTTCTTTCAGATGATACCTGAAATCCTATAGGGAGCAGCCTTCATTTCGATCTCCAGCTGCTCCGGTTTCTGCCGCACGGAGTGGACGGGCTCTTCGAACTCAATGGTCACGATGGGGATGAATCCGGTGTAGTGAGCCCTCCGCATGGCTCTTGTTGAGTCCTGGAAGAGAGAGGCTGGGCAGCAGCTGATGCAAAGGGATCCCAGGGCATCGTTTTGAACTGAGCAAGATTCCAACTCAGGGGTCCTCAACGTGGCGCCCATGGGCGCCATGTCACAGAATCATAGAGTTGGAAGGGACCTCCATGGTCATCAAGTCCAACCCCTACACAATGCAGGAAATTCACAAATACCCCCCACACCCCCAGTGACCCCTGTTCCACGCCCAGAAGATGACAAAAAAAACTTCCAGGATCTCTGGCCAAACTGGCCTGGAGAAAAATTGCTTCCTGACCCCAAAGTGGGGATCAGCATTTCCCTGGGGGTGTAAGGAAGGGCCACGAGAACTAAGCCCTGATGCAACCCTTCCTGACTTCCCTCTCGTGATCTGCCCAAGTTCACAGAATCGGCATTGCTGTCAGATGGCCATCGAGCCTCTGCTCGAAAACCTCCTGAGAAGAGGAGCCCACCAGTGTTTCCTCTAAGCTGAGTTAGTGTGAGCTAGCTCACACTCTGTCAGGAAGTTCTCCCTAAAGTTCAGCCAAATACTCTTCTGATTTAATTTCAACCCGTCGGTTCTGGTCCGACCTTCTGGGGCAACACAACTCTCCACCATCCTGTATATGACAGCCCTTCAAGAACTTGAAGACGGTTATCACATCATCTCTCCATCATCTCCTCTCCAGGATAAATGTGACCTGACCCATTTCCTGGTGCCCACGGACGGTTATGAGAAAGTCGGTGAGGCGAGGTGGGTCTTTTGCCCTGCAGGGCTTCTCGATTGGCCACCGGCAATCTGATTGGCCGTACAGGGTTTTTAAAAAGTTTCTTTAAGAGTTGCTATAATGATAATTCCGTCATAATATATATGAGTTTGATATTGATATTGACTTTGGTTTCTATATAATTATCGCTGCATGTATTCAGCGTGTTTTGACTACAGATTTGTTTGTGGTTCCACTGGTTGTTTTCCGGGAGCTCCCCTCTCTCTTGCTTGGCAGTGGGGGGCATCTCAGCTTTTCAGCTCTCAACCCCAGGGGCCTCCCAAGGGCCAGTGAACGGGCAGGTTCCCAGCACAGTAAGGACCGGCCCTTAAAGCAGGACTTGGGAGTCGCCATGTTTGCTCTCCGCTGCTCCTACAAACGGCCCACGGGTCCCAGTTTACCTGACCGGCGCAGGCAAGGGTGATTTTCAGGTAGTACGAAAATCCCAGGTAATGCTGCAAAAAGAAAAAAAAGTACAGCTTTCAGAGGGCGATTCTGCCACGCAGAATGGGACGAGACCGAGAAGATCCCTACGGCTTCACCCCAGCTCTCAGCTCGGCGCAAACGGTCTGCTGCAAACGTGACCCTGGCCATTGAAGGCAAAAGATTCACCTCCCGCCTGAAGCCCAGTGCAAGCTGAGCAGGCCCTGAGCCCCTGTGGTTTGATCTCCTCGGGGCTGCCTGTGAAGTTGGACTCCACCCCAGAAGATCTACACCAGACATTGCAAGCCGTGGCTGGGTGGCTCAGGCTGAGCCAGCTGAAGCTGGACCCCGGCAAGACGGGGGGCCCTGTGT